AACGAGATTCTCATTCTCTTTTCCAAGCCCGGTTATTGAACCTATGCTCTACTCAATCCCAAGTACCCGTATACGCTACCTTCCTTGATCGACCCAGAATGTACTATCTCTAGCCGTGAATTCACTACACGAACATTTAACATATGAAAGATAAACGAGATCCATTGCACAAGTATGCTATTTCAATCAGTCCATGCTATCCGCTACACAGGCATATTCTACCCACTACACAGGGTTATTCAATTCCGTTTAATTCAAGACAAGAAAGGGCAGGAACGCTTCAAATAGACTGCTGTGGACATAGGAGTGATGCTAATTACCAAACTATCCTCGTTATTGGGTTAAAGTATATGACAAATTTGGAATTTGTTTAAAATTGTGAGCGTATAATGGGTAAAAAAGATGAATTCCTAATGAGTTAGTTCTTTAGGAATTAGAATACCACCTCCCACCCAAGAATTAAATTCCTCCAAAATCAGGAATTTAATTCCTAATTTTGTGTCTACCTCACTTACTTTTTAATTTCTCGATGCGAAATAAACGCAAGAATCCTCCATATGTGTAATTCAATTCCCGATGAGAATTCAAATTTCTGATTAGTAAACACACCATAAAGAGAATCTCATAAACATATTGCGGGCGAGGGATAGAAATTGAATGTGGGAAAATTTAGATAGCCCAAACAGAGAAGCCTTCTCCTTTCTCAACATGGCCACCGCCGATTTTTGCATTATTCACCTTCCCACCTTCCCACCCATAACATATGTACAAGTTAATTTAGTTTGTGTTCAATAATTCAAGCTTAGTTAGTCAGACCGACGGCCCACTGTTACAATCTCCAGCTTGATTACCTAAGCAAGTGTGATATTTTACCTTGTCAAGTTTTTTATATGGTATTTTTACATTCTTCAGCACATAATTAAACATGTTACATAAGAACATAGCTAGCAAAACAACAAATATATATAAAGACATCTCGGTGTTCATATTAGGACTAATAATACAAACACAAGGTCATTATGCCATCAAAATATTCATCTGGCCATGTGAAGTAGCAACATCAGACCCTTTCTATGTTTCTTTTGTTTGCTCACATACTTTTTTGCCATATCATAGCCCTTAGAATTCCTGCAAAATAATAACATGAACTTTATTTCTCAATTTCACAATGACACAAAATAGTGTAATATTAACTTGTTCACAGTTCATAAACAAATTATAATAAAACTCACATGTTCTTCCTTCCATTTAGATGGGTTCATTGGGTCCTCCTAGAAGTTCACCTTTAAGTATATGCCAGGAGAATTGTCCCAGTTTTTTTTAATAAAAGAAAGAAAAAAAAGTATGATATACATCATTTAAAAGCATAGCTTGAGGTTTGCTGAGTTATATATACCTCTGAGAAATCTATCTATGGTTTCTCCAGTGAAGGACTACCTTCAAGAATCCTACTTTCATACAAATTGTTAGCTTTTCTAAATGACCCAATTCTTCATATAGCAAACTTTCACAAGATAATACCATTGCAAAATTAAAGTTTACATTCATGCACACGATTTCGTACTACTCAATTGCAATATAAAAGTTATTATAAACATGGGTGAAGTGAATGTGTGTCTTGGTAGGCGAATAAAAATACAAATAAGGAAATCATCAATACTGCATTTCGCATTGTTCAAAAGTTAAAGAAGCACAGTCTCAGAGAAGAAGAAGAGCAAGACAATGGAACTGGATAAATTCAAGAGCTATCAACAAACCTTCAAGTTTTCCAAGAACCCTTTTCACGGCACCAACACAACCTTGGCATGATACCAACCTTGAGGACTATAGACTGCACCAAAAACAAATCCAAGATTGAATTACGAAAAATAGAGAAAATCAAGATCCAACATATGCCAACTTTATAGTATCAAACTTATGTTAAAATATTGGCATTCTCATAAAACTTACAAACTCCACAGTCACTTTTGGAGATATCCTCCACCTCAAGACATAATCAATTTATATAGTTCATTCAAAAATCACATTCCAAAACAGAACAAATAAATTCAGATCATTGAACCAAGAGACCATTGAACCAAATAACTGTGTTTCTTCAATTGTTTTTTGTCAAAATAAAAACCTAACTCAATAATCCAATTCAACAAGCAAAAGAGAATCTTCAAAATCATTTTAGATTGGACAAGTTTCAAGCATAATATTCCTTAAGACAAACAGAGAAATATATGTTGCACAATCCCAAAATTTTGGTTCAAAAAGTTGTTGTATATTCTCACTTAAATAACATTCTCTACACAAGCCTAATATATAGAGAGAGTAAATTTTAAATTAAACCCACAATTATGTTTCAACAAATTTCTGTACAATCTCACCCAAATTTGACTTGGAGGGACTTGAACTCACATCAAGTACCAAAAACCCAAACCCATATATGAAATAGAAACAAGGAGAAGAAAACCCAAATATGTCAGAGAAAAGCCAAGCTGGCTACCTGAGACGCCATCTCTAGGCATGGAGGTTGAAAGAGGCGACAGCGAGTGAGAGATGGAGGTGGAAAGATCGTCATAGCCGATGTGGGTTAGGGTTTTTGAGGAGGTGACAATGACTGTCGACGATGTGGGTACGAACGAGAGAGAGAAGAGAGGAGAGGAGGGGAGATTCTGTGGTGGAGGTGGATATAACTAAGAGGAGATAGAGTTAGGGGAGATTATATGGTGGAGGTGGATTTTGTGAGGTTTGGGGGAAGGAAGAAGAGGAAGAGGAAGAGCAATGATTGAAAAAGATAATTTTGGTATTTTTGCGGGAACCTGTCTTTATAGGCGACCAACTGATCATTGTAAGGCGACGAAACCAATTGGTCGCATAAAGGTTTTGGCGACGAAATTTTTTTTTCGTCGCCTTTTGTCACTTTTACTTTCAGCCACGAGCCTTAGGCGACCAAGCTTGCGACGAAATTATTTTGTCGCTAAAGGGGTTTGGCGACGAATTTACAGCTTTTAGCGACCAAAAGTGGTGGTCGCCAAAAGTGTTTTTCCTTGTAGTGGTGGCTTGCGGGGAAGGAGGGTTAACCAGAATGAAAGAGCGTGCTGTGCACTTTCGGATTGCCTCTTTGGGTATGGGTAATTTCAACCCGGTTTTACCAAAAAGACAACATTGAAAATTCACCGTTGGATTTTATCCGACGGCTCTTAGATTTAAACACACCCCTTATAACTTTCCACTCACTATAGAAGCCCCCTTGCCCCCCTTGTTTGGGCCATTTTTCGTTAGGCATCTTTTCAATGTAAGATGTGATGGATAATTGCATCTACACGTACATGTGATTCTTCAAACCAAAAAAACATGCATGTGATTAATGCAAATTCACAACTCAATACACACTCCCATTTAGAGTTGTAAGGAGATGTGCAATAATATGGTATTATGTTTTTTTCGCCGTAAAATATATAATTTTCATATAATTATGGAAAGATAAACCATAGACAATAACGATGGAATTTTCTTTTGATGACTTTTCTGAGTTAGGAAATTGCCATCTCACTAGATGCCAAGTATTGAACTTACTTTTCTAACATGTGGAATTGTGAACCGTTTACTTTTGTTCCTGCTTTTCAACTTTAAATTTTCAGAAGACTTAGCCAAAGTGAAAAGTAATTACACAAGGGAAAACGTGGCCATGCGATCGCTTTCGCTCCTCACACAGGGTTTCAATTTCATGTTATGTTTTTTTCGCCGTAAAATATATAATTTTCATATAATTATGGAAAGATAAACCATAGACAATAACGATGGAATTTTCTTTTGATGACTTTTCTGAGTTAGGAAATTGCCATCTCACTAGATGCCAAGTATTGAACTTACTTTTCTAACATGTGGAATTGTGAACCGTTTACTTTTGTTCCTGCTTTTCAACTTTAAATTTTCAGAAGACTTAGCCAAAGTGAAAAGTAATTACACAAGGGAAAACGTGGCCATGCGATCGCTTTCCACTACGTTTTGGGTTTTTGGCTGCACTGAAGATCGCTCCTCACACAGGGTTTCAATTTCATTCGTACGCTCTCAAATTTTAAGTATCAAAAATAATAAAAGGCTTAAATGTCATAATGGTCTCTATTTTTTACCCCATCAACCAATTTAGTCTATGTGTTCTCAATTTGGCCAATTTGATCATTGTGTTATAAAGAAAAATATTTAAAACTTTAATTGATTTTAAAATATTCAAATTCAATCTAAAAATGGAATTGTACAAAAAATAAAAAATTCTCTTCCCCCAATTTTACACTCATACTACAAGTTACAACAACCTCTCCAAAACCTGAGCCAAACTAGCCACCACCACTCCAATCCCAACACTTTAATGACATGTTTATTAATCCGTAATTGGATTATGTGGAATTGAATTGAGGAAGAGTTAGATTAAGGAGAATTAGATTCCGGATTCCTATTAAAGTTATTTACTAAACCATATAGATTGAGAAGAGTTAGATTTCGGTTTCCTATTAAAGTTGTTTACTAAACCATATGAAATTGGGGTAGGAGTGATGCTAATTACTAAACTATCCTCATTGTGAGCGTATAATTGGTAAAAAAAGATGAATTCCTAATGGGTTAGTTCTATAGGAATTAGAATACCACCTCCCACCCAAGAATTAAATTCCTCCAAAAACAGGAATTCAATTCCTAATTTTGTGTCTACCTCACTTACTTTTTAATTTCTCGATGCGAAATAAACGCAGGAATCCTCCGTATGTGAAATTCAATTCCCGATGAGAATTCAAATTTTTTATTAATAAACAAATCATAAAGAGAATCTTAGAAACATATTGAGGGCGAAGGATAGAAATTGAATGTGGGAAAATTTAGATAGCCCAAACAGAGAAGCCTTCTCCTTTCTCAACATGGCCACCACCGATTTTTGCATTATTCACCTTCCCACCTTCCCACCCATAACATATGTACAAGTTAATTTAATCAGACCGACGGCCCACTGTTACAATCTCCAAAATAAGGACATGCTGCTAAAGATGCAAAAACAAACCCCTAGTCACTCGGAGAACCTAATGATCTGCATGAGAAAAACAAATTAGTCGTGAGCAAACAACCCACTCAGCTCAATCATGTAAATCTAATAGTTTATATCCAGCCCGAACCATACAATTGGCACTCACATTGTTACAATAAACTCGTGCATTAGATTAGTGCTGAAATAATATAGATTTACCCTCACTCACTTCAAAGCAATACCTTTCACATATCATCTTATATCAACCGAAGTATGTGATATACAATATAAAATTTTCAACATCTTAGTAAAGCCACTCACCTTAAGTCAGATTGGATTAAGAATAGCGCACAAACCGAGGAGACCCAAACAACATCAACACCTAAGAGAGTACACAAAACTTAATTAACTTAGAATCCTATCCTACGATTGAAAACTATATAATATTCCAAATGCAAAGAAACTATGCTTAACATCACTTCGAAAAGAGAACAAGAATACCATGAAACTGTTTTTCTAGAATAGAAAAGTGTTTTTCATTAAACCCTGGAAATAATAAAAAAGAAAGTGTGTCCAAATTATGCAATGACAGTATTTTTAGCATCCAATACACAAAACGAACATAAACAGGGAAATGGAGAAAAAATAGCAAAAGAATAAAAGGCCAACCTTTGATTTGGTTCCTAAGACTCAATTTTTAAAGGATCCGAATTGAACTATGTCTCCCTAGTTTATTTTTTATTTTTTATAATTGTTGCATATTTTTTTTAGGGGGAATTATTGCAAATTAAAATAGTTAAAATGATTGTTTCGGTAAAATAAGGAGTATAACTAGGGTTTAAACTACTAGTTATTTATGCTATTAGATTAATCTAAGGGTCTGTATTGAATCGTTACTCACATAATATCATTTTTAGGTTCTTAGGTGAGCGCGACTGCAATTTCAATTACCTAATTTCGTAAAAAATTTCAACAAAATCAGCATGCTGTGGTTACCAATTTTGGAACATACAATAGTCAAACCCAAAATAAAAATTAAAAATAGAAAGTGGTGTAGTCATTACCAATTTTGTGCTGAAAGGGAGGCTAATAAAAAAAAAATTAAAAGAAAAAAGTGATGCGAACTCACATTGAAATGCAGAGGGAGGTCATCTTTTTTCTCTTTCTGGGTCGAACTTCATCACCTCACATCATCATCATCATCATCTAATTCATCTTCACCTTCATTTTCATCATCATCACCATCCTTACCATCCTTTGGCATGCTGATACGAGACAGGTGAGCCCCAAAGCTTTTGAAGAGCCCTCTGCCGCATCTGTAGGAAACATTAATAATTCGATGAATAGGCGGCTTTAATTGATCATCACCCTTCGGCTTCGTGTGAGCTAGTAATGGAATATGCCACAGCTCCACATGACCTGCCCCTGTCCATCCTTCAGACACTGAGTAATCTTGACCCCAATATCTGTGTGCTCCATCGATCAAATTCAAAACTGACAATACAGGAAACCACGGCTTACTAAATGATTCCGTAGGTTCACAAACAGTACACAAAACCAAGTTCTCCAATCCGGGAGTCCAAGGAATTTCAATCGGGAAGTCCAACAAATGATCATTTTTATTTGGAAGAAGTACACCTACGTCTTTGCGAAAACTGAACGACTCGGGAACTTCACTGCCTGGAAGAAAAACACCAATATCACGTCTGGTATTGATTGTTACCTGTAACACAAGACAAGACAAGAGAGGCATATATTAATTAGTCATGCGTGCATAGTGTAGCATTAACAATACATGTAATGTATGCGTATTATATAGAAATTAAAAGAAAAATATATATACGTCACCTGATTCACTAAAATATTTGCCATCTTTGCAGCGTCCAACCCTATATTATCGCATAGCCTATGGCAATTGGACAAATTCATGTACCAAATCTGTTGCATGTCTCCGTCTTCCAATCTTTGACAATGTTGAAAATCTTTCCAATTGGAAGCCAAATTAATTGTTTCAGTGTTTGCTTCTCTCTTCAGAAAAAAGATGAGCCTTACTCGGAGAGTTTGGGTGTGGGTGAGCAAAATGTGAATTCATGAAATGGGACGCAGGCAACTCTTTTATAGGACATCCAGATAAGTCCAAATGTGTCACCCCAATGAGATTTCCAATTGACGCAGGCAACTCTTTTATAGGACATCCAGATAAGCGCAAATCTGTCAGCCCAATGAGATTTCCAATTGACGCAGGCAACTCTTTTATAGGACATCCAGATAAGCGCAAATGTGTCAGCCCAATGAGATTTCCAATTGACGCAGGCAACTCTTTTATAGGACATCCACGTAAGTCCAAATGTGTCAGCCCAATGAGATTTCCAATTGAGGCAGGCAACTCTTTTATAAGACATCCAGATAAGTCCAAATCTGTCAGCCCAATGAGATTTCCAATTGAGGCAGGCAACTCTTTTATTGGACATCTAGATAAGCCGAAATGTGTCAGCCCAATGAGATTTCCAATTGACGCAGGCGACTCTTTTATAGGACATCCAGATGAGCCCAAATGTATCAGCCCCAAGAGATTTCCAATTGACGCAGGCAACTCTTTTATAGGACATTCAGATGAGCCCAAATGTGTCAGCCCAATGAGATTTCCAATTGAACATTCAGATGAGCCCAAATATGTCAGCACAATGAGATTTCCAATTGAGGCAGGCAACTCTTTTATAGGACATCCAAATAAGTCCAAATCTGTCAGCCCAATGAGATTTCCAATTGAGGCAGGCAACTCTTTTATAGGACATCCACGTAAGTCCAAATATATCGGCCCAATGAGATTTCCAAATGAGGCAGGCAACTCTTTTATAGGACATCCAGGTAAGTCCAAATCTGTCAGCCCAGTGAAATTTCCAATTGAGGCAAGCAACTCTTTTATAGGACATCCAGATAAGGCAATGAGATTTTGAATTACGGCAGGCAACTCTTTTATAGGACATCCAAATATGCCCAACTCTGTCAGCCCAACGTTATTTCCATTTGAGACAATCAACTCTGGATATCCAGATAAGCCCAAATGTGTCAGCCCAATGAGATTTCCAATTGACGCAGGCAACTCTTTTATAGCAGTTCTGAAAAGGTCCAATTTATTTAAGGATTCCACTTTGTCCATAATTTCTGGGAACCTCTCCAATTTTATGCAATTTCTAAGATCCAACTGTTCCAGAGATTTGCACCAAACTTCATTTGGAAACTTGGTGAGTTCACAGCAGCCATAAAAATTCAATACTTGAAGTTTATCAAGAGATCCAACAGATGGATGAACCTGAACTAAACTTTTACAATGGTTCGCATACAAGTACCTTAAGTTTGGGCTGCCGGATAGGTCGGAAATTTCAGTTAGGAATTCAGAGCCCGTTAAATTCAAAAATGTCAACTTTGTGAAATGCTGTGAAACCAAAAAAGAATTGAAATAATATTAATAATCAAATGGATAGCATTAAAGAAATTTACAACAAACATCAATTAATAAACAAGACCTCTTAAAGTACCTTCAATCCCTCCCCTCGTTGTTTGATGGGGCTGTAAGGAAGATTGAGCAACCTTAGTCCCTTTGGATGAAATTTGGGTGGAAAAGATTGGAGCGGACAACTATACCAATCAAGCACTCTCAACATGTTTGGGAGATAACCAATGTCTCCAGAAAGAAATACGTTATAGTTCATGAAAATTTTAAGATTTTTCATCTTCGAGAAGCAATCAACATTCAAGAATATCTCATAATCCTCTTTGGGGGAATTTAACATGATGCCTGTTATTTTTTTTGTTCCCTGACATAAAAAAGTAAAGGGACCATTGTTACAAAGCATTTAATAAAAAACATGCACGAGTTTTAAATTCTACTTTTTCTTCCAGATAAAAATAAAAATAAAAATAATAATTATACTTACTGTATCATTAGTCAGAACATGCTCGATATCTTCATGAGACCACAATCTGCTACGACCTCCAAGTTCATCGGGCGACTCTTGCTGAACTATGTCCTTACCCATCTGTTCTAGTAAGTCATGCATCCAAATATAATATCCTTCAACACTTATGAGTGCCTTTTCTACGAGTACTTCAATGCTATACCCAGCTTTGGGGTCACAAGCTACAAGTATTTCTGTCACATGCATTTTACTTTTACCCTTAAAGAAACATGCAATGTCAAGGAAAACCTGTTGTACGCTATGATCCAATGCATTGTAACTTATTTTGAGAACATCTTGAATTTTCGGGCTTTTGAAACCATGTAATGCAGCTTCCCATTTACCAATACTTCCACCATATAGACAAGAACCGAGAACTTTCAAAGCCAAAGGAAGGCCTTGAGCATAGCGTATTGCACGTCGTGCAAGTTTCACATAATCACCCAAAGGAGGCTCACTTCTTTTGAAGGCATGGCAGCAGAAGAGCTCAAGAGCTTCAGGATCATCTAAAATCTTGACCTCATGTATTAAATTAACATCATGAGCAGTTAACAGTTGCTTATCCCTTGTTGTTATGATAATTCTACTGCCTACACCAAACCAATCACATGCCCCAACTAACTTGTGTAACTGTTCCATGTCATCCACGTCATCAAGAACCAAGAGAACCTTTCTACGCCTCAACCATTCCTTTATCATAGTGACTCCTTTATCAACATTGGTCACCTCCAATTTTTCTACCCTTAGAATCTCAGAAAGAAGAGTCTCTTGCAGTTTGGCTAAACCTCCATGCGACATTGAACATTCTCTAACGTCTTCCAAAAAACAACAACCTTCAAATTCACGGGCAATTAAATTATAAACAGCTTTAGTAATTGTGGTCTTACCAATTCCACCAGTTCCCCATACCCCTACCATACGAACATCGTTTTCCTCCAAATCTAAAAGCTTATTCATAACTTGTACTTGAGCTTGCATTCCAACTGGATGCTTTGCCACTTCAAAACACACAAGGTTTGATACGTGTTTTAAAATCTCTTCAATGATGTTTTGGATAAACTTAGATTCAGATTGATACCTGCCAATTGAAAAGAATATGAAGCATTTAGCGACATGGCATTTCTATATAAAATATAAAATAAAAAAAAGGGCAAGGAACAATTAACTCCTATAAAAACTGATGAATACATTAACTCTTATAAAACTGATCCCAGTTAAAGTTTGTCAACGATGAATAATTTTTCAACTACTTAGTAGTATAATTTTTGAAAAGGAGAAAATTAATTTATTAATAATATTAATAATTTTCACACTATTAATTAATTATTGACATAAAAAAATTATTTTCATTCATTTCTTTTAACAAAAAAAAATTGTAATTACTTTTTATTTGGGATCAAAATGAAGAACTTTCTTCTACAAATATATATAGTGGCTATACTTATTACAAACAAAACAAAAGGAAAAGCATTATATAAGGGGGTTAGAAATTTACTCGTCCAAAGTGAACCCTGACAGATCTGCTACTCGTGAAAGAGCTGCCCTCCATTTGTTGACCTTGTCCATCTCATCTTTGTATTTGCGCTCCATGTTAGCCAGTGCATCCCCGAAGCTACCTCTCTGATTCCGTACATCTGATGGATTCACCTTGTAAAAAACTGGGATGACCCGTTGTTGATTTGATTCTTTGCAGTCAAGAATCTTAACAAGTTCATCCAAACACCATCTTGAAGAGGCATAGTTTTTGGAGAACACAATGACAGAAATCTTTGATTCTTCAATTGCTGTGAGAAGCGCGCGTGATATTTCTTCTCCTCTTCCGAGGTCATCATCATCCCTGAAGGTGTTAATGCGTCGTTGACATAAAGCGCTATACAAATGGTCTGTGAAGTTGTGGCGCGTGTCTTCGCCTCTGAAGCTCAGAAATACTTGGTCTTCCCGTGACTTTGGGAAAGAAGCAGAGGAAGAAGAGGCTCGTTGGTTGGCCATGGAAGCCAAATTAATTGTTTCAGTGTTTGCTTCTCTCTTCA